AAATAAGTGCAGAAAAATATTCAATACTCAAAAACATGAATTAAACTAAGAAAAACCATTTAGATCTCACAATATATGGTTCTGAGGCTTCAATCTCCTTCGACCAAATGTAAAATTTAGTTACAATTTATGAATTTATGAGAAAAATAATGAAGAATGAAGTTTGGAGGCGTTCTGCCTGTTCTATGGTCACAAATCACGTATTTATAGTTGTTTCCATAGGTGGTTGACTTAAATTCTAAAACTAGAATTTTCATATGGGGAAACAACTATGCGACCCATAATAGTAAGTCATGCGGTCGCATAGAACATTGAAACAGAGCTCTAAAAATCTCTAAAGGTGCTCGTGCGACCGCAGGGAAGATTACACTATGCAACCACATAGTTTTGCTAGTTTTCCACTGGACAATGTTCAATATTTTGATCATATCTTTCTCTCCTGATATCTGATTGAGATGATTCAAGATGTATTGAAAAGATAATTCAAAGGGATTTAAATTTTTCAGAAACATAAAATTCCCAATTCGAACGTTTCCTTCGGCTAGGAGTTGATATGTGATAATACTTTGATTGTCTTTCATCCCTTTGACTTTTTTCTTCATCTGATTGACCTCTAACACTCTCAAATTTTCATCGTGAGGTTCCACATAACTTTCGAGTATTTGCATTTCAGTCCCCAAACTTCGTTTTCTGTCATTTTGGTTGTTGTTTGCTTATTTCTTCCAAATTACGTAATATTCATAGAATTGCCACATAAATCAAAATATGAACGTAATGAGTACATTTTGACATTGATTAATCATAGGAGCACATAAAATAAGGAGGGAAAAATATGCATTTTACATTCCTATCGCTTATTATCAATAAATTCAATTGGAGATGATTTAAGTTTTGAATTACCTTGAATCCAGTAACTTTCCAATGCTGACTTACAGGCAACTTGCTTACCACTTTCTGGGAGTTCATTGTCTCATTTCTCGTGCGAGATCGGCTAACGACATAGTTGATTTTTCCTTTAAACTCTTCTTGTTGCCTCTTCAAATTGATATCACTGTCTTCCTGATTATTGTTGGGAATTTCAGTTTCTGCCACCAATGCTTCTACTTTTACAGGATTCACCTCCAATTGATTCATTTTTGGACAGAAAAATGTTGAGATCGTGGTTCCCTTTGTTCTCGTTTTCCACATACGGTGCCCATTTGTTGATCTCAAAATTGAGATTTACAAATTCCTCTCGACTAGTTAGGATTTTTATTTCCTAAACTCACCGATTTTATGTTTAAGCAGGAGCAAGAAGAGAAATGATTATTTGGGAGAAGAATATTACTATTTTCATGCTTCTCTTTGTTTCCCATTTTGCTTATTTATAGATTTTTAATGAGGTCACAGGGGAATTAAGTCTTTTCTAAGGACACATTACATTAATTGATTAGTGAACTTCTAATAGAATAATTCACATTTTAGTCACCAGTCTACATGTTCTTCATTCATTGATTGTGAAGTCACGTTTTACACGTTTTAATAATGATTTTTTGCTGATATGGAATATTTAGTGAAGTTAATTGCTCACTGTTTATGCCCAAGGTTGGTTATTA